CAAAACAACGCAATAGGACAGATAATAGACTCACAACATATCTAGATTTAAACACCGCTGGTCTACATAACCTATTACAAAGGAGAGGCAAGCCCTGCTGTCAGCACAGACACTGAAGCTCACAGCTGATGACAGTTCAGGGTCTGCTCAGCATTGTTTAAAAGGGGTCACTCACAGTTTGTCAAAGAGTGCCGGCATTTTCCATAGACCCACAAAGCATTTTATCTGAAAGGGAGATTTTCTAAGTGTTATAGGCTGTGGGTCCATGGTGCAAAAAGTTCATGTTCTCACCCAGCTGGTGAACAAACGACTGAACAGAGAACAGAGCCGAAACTCCCGGTCTCCCTTTCCCCAGATGTAAAGACTGCTAGCTGGGACTCACAGAAGATTGGAACAAAAAGACCGGAGATGGACCCCTGGTGGATTGCTCCAGCATGAAGTGAAGATATGAACACCACACAGCAGGGCCATCACAGAGGGCAGACGCTGTGATTCCTGCCCAGAGAGCCTTAAAAGTTTACAGTGTGTTCACAGAAAGAAAGCTGCTCCACCCAACCCGCAAATTGTTGCACTCGTTATTACTTAGTTCTCGATCCATCTTATGGTTGTCACCTTTGTTTTCTGTATGTATAAAATTGAAAGACTTAAAACTTGCTTAGCACAGCACCCAACATCTTAGTAAGTGCTCAAGAAATGTTGTTTCCCTTCCTTCTAGAAACCAAGACAAAAATAAAGCATTTCTGAATTTTAGGTTGGCTGAAATAACAAAACAAGACCTAGTTTTTTCCTGTGGCAAGTGCTGATCCTCTGGCCACAGGGGCATGGGACATTAATCTTCAAATGGGTCAGCCTCCTCTGCACTGAGAAATGTCTGCTATGAGAATTTATAATACATTTAATCCTGGCTGGCCATTTTTTGATATGATTGCACCTCTACAAAATGGGATTTTCCTAATGGACATAACCCTATTTCTTTTCTCCTGATGTGCAAATCTGTTAGTGGCTGACTTTCAGAAAACCACTTGTGAGTCTTTGGAAAGAGTTCTTTTCCCCACATCCACTTCAGTCTAATAACATAAGGCTATATATAAAATCTCCCAGGAACAAGGTATTCCTCCGTCAGCCTGGATTCATATATAAGGCACATTAAAGACACAAAAGAGTATCTAAGACGAGGGAGGAATGTGCATTTGTGTCAAGAGAGTGAGAGAGATAGACAGATAGACAGACAGACAGACAGACAGACAGACGGAGACAGAGAGACCTAAGTACTTGGGTTTTTTAAATAACTGTCGTTAACGAAGTTTCCTCAGTCCTTCCTATTTCCCAGTATTCCCTAGAGCCTCAGGCAGCACTCTTCCTTAGTAAAAAGGAGAAGTCCTAAGAGTAACTGAAGGAATGAATGAATGAATGGAAAATCCAAAACTTGTCTCTGGATCCTTTGCAGCCCTAATTTTGCACCCTCTGTTCTCCTGCAACTGTCCTCCCTGCAGGGCTTTTCTTTTCACACACCTACAAATTGCCTCAGTTGAAAGGGGTCAAGTAAAATGCCTCCCACTAGAACATCACCTGTCCATGTGCTGCAGGCTCTGCCACCTAGAACACAGAAGTGCTGGTCTTTTGCACGAGCTTTCTCAAGGGCTGGATTCAAACCACCTTTAGTGGCTTGTGGCAGACAAGGGGTAGGCAGAAAGTCTTGCATCTCCAACATTCCCACATTGCAAGGACAGCATGGAGGTTCCCTCAGCAGGGGGTGGGATGCTCCACTGAACTGTGCTCAAATTCACACCTCATGTGACATGCCTCTTCAGAGGAGTGGTCCCAGAAAACCTTTGATTCTGCCCTTAAGCTTCTGCTTCGTCTGAGGACATGGGAGGAAGGGGCCATGAAATGGTGAAAAATAGTTTTAATAAAACACTTAACGACAAAAATGCAGCTGTGGACAGAATGCCAGAATAAAGCAGAATCAATTCCATACTCCCACTTTGTGGGCCATAAGATACCCAGCCAACTTCTGACATCCAAGTTGACCCGAAGGATTTGGGAAGAAAAAAACATTGTATTTATCGGTGGTTTGTGACTAAACAGAATTAAAAGTTGCTTTCACAATCTACAAATTAGGTGTCCAGATCAAAATCATTTTATTAACCAAAAGGTTATCTAATTTTGCCTATATTGGTGTCAAATCTCATTCCCACCCACTGCCAAAAAGGAGCAACCTAGTTCAGCTGTCAGATTTTACATAACACTCTCTTGATGTGAGCTAGACTCTAGAGTCCTAACACTTCACAGAAATTCTTTCTTAAAACTGGCACTGAAGCGTTTCATTTACAATATCCTTTTTCAAGTGCAAAGTCAGGAGCTGAGAAAAGAACCACTCTGGGGGGTCTGGGTTACTCAGGTCTCATTCAGTAAAAAATCAATTGTTCTCTGAATCTTTGAAAGACATCTCACTAGTGTCATCAAAGAAAGGAAAATGGAAACCATGTTTATATGATGAAAAACATAATTAACAGACTGATTCTTTGTGGCTCATGGTTGCTCTAACGGTCTCATATTTTTCAAAACTTGCACTCAGGTGCCCATGTCTGCCATGGTTTGAAATCTTCAGAGTTAATCATAAATTAATGACTAGGCAATGGGGTCACTTGATGGGGAGAACAAATCCACTGATATTCTAGGCTTAACCCTGGAACAGAAAATGTGCACACATCCATTAATTGTCTTTGAACCAATCTGGTGTCATCCAACTCTCCTGTGTCCTCTTGACCCCATTTTGTTTTGTTCCTCTAAAGGCATAACTGTTAGTTCCCTTTCCTCACTCAAGCAAGAAGTGCAAGGCCGAGGTCTTTCTCAAAGAGCAGTGATACTGGTTCTTGGAATCCCCATAAAAGAGCCATCTGCGCTCTCTGGCTAACGTCCATGCCTCCAGACATGGGTGCTGTTCTGGAAGGAGTTTACCAGAGCAAGAACCCTGCTGTCTGGAGGTCTGGGAGACGGATGAAAAGCAAGGGTAGGAAGGTGAGAAAATACAATCCTCAAGGCACTAAGGACGGGAATAGGTGTTTCCTTTTTCTTCTCCCTCCTCATCAGAACAACAGGTTTTCTACTCTGGTTACATCTGGAAGCCTGGAAAACCCAATCTGGTTCAATTGCAGCAGGTCACAAGTTGGCCCACTCTCTCACTTCTGCCCTTAAATATGAAGCCTTTCCTTTCTCATCGATAGAATCCTACTTGAGTCAATCCTCTCTTTATTTGGGTAAAAAGTTCCCTATACCTGACACCGACACAAGAGTTCAAAGAGACGGATGTGTCAGCTGTGGCCTATGGTTACCAGACACCAGCCAGGCCCAGGAGGACCCAGGGTCAGAGACGACAGAGCAGAGAGAAGCACAGCTTGCTAGTAAACCCTCCTCCTGCATAGCCCAGACGGTCTCTGCCCACCCTGGCCAGTGTGAAGGACAGTGAGGACCATTCAGACAGCAGGGCTGCCAAGACCATGGTGGTCCCATTCCATCTTTCACACACTGTGAGAAGATGAACTTGGCCATCTCCCAGTCTACATCCTCTCCATCACAGCAAGGAGAGAGGAAAATCACAGTGAGCCCCAAGTGGCCCTAGGCAGACAGAGCAGGGACCCCCTTATGAGGCATGATGACAAAGGCTAATGGCACCAAATTCTGTATCTGATATGGAATGGGAGCCAGGGTGTGGGCTCAATCCCTCTAAGTACAGGCTCCATTGACAGTACAGACGATGAGAGAGACACAGAGAGAAAGAGAACGACAGAAAGAAAGAGAGAGAGGAAGAGAGCAAGAGAGCTTGAGGGGAAGCTAAAACTGAAGGCATTTCAGCTGCTACTAAAAATAAAATACAAAATGTAAGCAGATTTCCTACATAAAATATTTCACAAGCTAAGATAAAAACAATTAAAAGGGCGGTCTTCTACAATATACAATACAAAGGCAATTTCCATTTCTCATTTGTATGAAAAAGAAGAAAGTTTTTTTAAACTAAAAAAGTTACTTTTAATCAATAAAAAAAATAAAAGAAGGTTGGGGGTTAGGTTGTATCTCTTTGGGTGAGCTGCAAAGTAGCCAAACCTGACTATAAAAGGTAAGAGTATGGAAACCCAAATGTCACCTATTCACCTCTTTGGTGAGGCAGGAGACAAGGAGGACAAAGTGGGAGTGTAGCAGGAAGAGGGGATCAGGCAGGTGTGGGAAGATGAGCTCACAAGGTTGTCTGAGGTGCCTGTGGTCAGGAACAGGACTTCCCTGCTCTATCATGGAAACAGGATAGAGAGAGCATGTGGCCACGGCCATGGAGCCATGATCTGAGCGAGGCATTGCTCCCCCTTTCCCTCTGGGCTCATCCTAGAGACAGACACATGTTTAAGGAGATTTCTCAATGGAAAGTGTCCCAGTGAAAAAGAGAAGGGAAACAAAACACTGTCTAGAAAGACCAGGGATCCCAGAGCCTACGGTGTCCTCTGCGCCCTGAAGGCCAGCAGAAGATTTTGCTAGCTCAAAAGGAGGCATTGAATCTCTTCAGTGTGGTTGCTAGCAGGAGGCCTCAGCAAGCTAATAAATACTATTTACAAGTGGGGAGGAGAACTATGGGCACGTGGAGGACAAGGAAAAGGGAGGTCCTAAAGGAGGGAGGCAGGTCCACCTGGAGGATAAGAGCCTGATCCCCTCAGGCATTGCACTTGTGGCCTGCGACACGGGGAGCCTGCACCTGCCAGTGCAGGGTGTGTGTGGGGGGGGGTGCTGGGGGAGGTGTGAGCCAGTGAGGGTTCCCAGGGGGCAGGGTGGGCTGCTGCTGGGGTGTGCACATGGGAGACCCTAGTGTGAGCAAGGGAGGACAGGCATCAGTGCTCTGCTGAATCCCAACAGGCCTGTGGCATTTTTGTGGGTAGAGTCTGAGGCCTAGACTGAACAAGAGTTGTCTCTTCTTCAAAGCGGGGGGGGG